CATTTATAGAAGTTGGGGTATTGTGGCATCTACTACTACTTCCAAAGCTATGATACAGGAAGTTTGGTCCCCACTGGCACAACAAAGGGTGAAATTGAACTTTGATGGAAGCTCTATAGGTAATCCAGGCCCATCTGGTATAGGAGGTGTTTTCAGAGATAATGAAGGCAAGATAATGGCTTTGCTTTCAGATCCAATAGGAGTTGGAGATTCTTTAAGAGCGGAAATCTTGGCACTACATCAAGGTGTAAAACTAGCCAAACAATTGGGGCTACAGCAGATTGAGATAGAGGGAAACTCCAAGTTGGTATTTGGGTGGATGGAATCAGGGCAGCTGGGAATTTGGCAATATAGACAGCTGATAAGGGAAATTCTTAGCATAACAAGGGAGGTGGGTGTTTAGTTCAAGTGGGTAAAGAGATCAGCAAATGGTTTTGCTGACGCCCTAGCAAAACAAGGGACTGTAAGGGAGAGTCTTTATTGGGCAGTGCTGTAATGTTTGATATTTATTGGATCAACCTTTTCTGATAAGGGTTGAATTCTGTATTTCAGTTTAATTTATCTCTAATGAAAGTTATCGCTTCTGATCAAAAAAAACAATCTAACTTTATTTTTGCCAAGGGCAGGGATTGGCCTTGGCAATCAGGTTAACTTCTTTTGACCCTACCTGGTTATAGATTTGGTGGTTGGGCTCTGATGTTGAGGGAGACTCTCTCGTTGAGACTTTTCTGTTGGAGACAGATGCTCCTCCTTTTTGGCATCTTCTAATATTTTGTGCCACTTGCAGAGAGTTCACGAGTTTTCTCTCCTAATGCCCAGTGGTTTCTTTCTACTTCATAAACAATTAGGTTTGCTGTTTGGTGATGGGGTTTTAAGCTGTTTGTTTGCCACTTTGTTCTTACTTTCTTGCTGATTGTAGCTTCTTGATTTAAATTCTAAACATTGATTCAATGGAAATTGAATGAATATGAAATATGTCAATAGATGGGCAAGCATTGCAAAATATATAAATGTAGAAAAGAAAAATAAGTCACAAGGGATGTAGACTAAGATGGAATCAAAAAATATCATGGTTAATTTAACTATAACCCTAAGTTTAATACAGAATGATTACTAATGCTTCTCCAACTGAACACTACATACCAGGGTAAATATGGTGTGACTTCGGCTACTTAAAAGGTTGAAATTATTCGAACCAACATGGCGATGCTCTGTTATTATAAATATAAACATCATTAACAACCTAACAAGTCATGGACATATACATATATTGAAAGAAATATTTAGGTATAATAGATAGAAACAGTAACCCAAAAAGTACCTTCTCCAGCAGCAATAAAAGAAAGTGCATGCCCAGGAGATAATACGACTTCCTCTTTAATACCCTCAACATAGGTGCCCTGCAAAACTTTTGTGTCAAAGAATTAATAGCCCAGCCCTTTTGTGTCAAAGGTTTTCATGGTGGGGATGCATCTTAGACTCAAATTTGATTTTGCAGATACCTTTAGAACCTACAATACATGGACTATGGAAAATGGTAAACATAAAAAGAACAGGAGAATAGTTAGCCACGACATGAGAAGTTATAAAACCTGTGCATCTTCTCTGACACGCAAATTTTGTCCTGTTGGATCTAGGAGGTCATTTATCACCTGAAAACACAAGGAAAACCAGCATTTAAAATACAATGGACTTAATTGAATTACTGAAATAATAAGATAACTTTGAAACATTGAAATAAATTGAAGTCCAAATAACAAAAATATACAAGGAAAGGAATCAACAACATCCCAAAGACCTTATCTCAATACATACCAAGCATTTCATGTATTTACTACTGACCTCATTGTAGATTTCAAGATAAGACACACGAAGTAAGAATTCTCTTCCTGGAGTCTGCAAGGAGATTGACTTAATTACAGCATCCACAAAAGAAATATATCAACACAAGGAAAAGCAGATAAGATGAACAGAGTTGAATATAATTCCAATTCCAGGATCCCAAGTTTTATGCATTTGTTTTTCTTCAAACAAATAGTTTTTAATCTTCACAGAAGCATTAAGCAGAAATAGTAACTCTAAGAGTCGGGGGTCAATAGGGAATTCTTAGTTGGGGATACAGGGGTTTTCATTGTAATATTATAGGATAAGATGTGACTGTACTGTCATCCTAATTCTACTCCATGCCTTTCCCTACTGTTCAGTTTTGTGGAAAGTTGGGTTTGTTGGAATTATTTTCTGCCGAATATCATTAGAAAAAACAAAAACTCTAAGAGTCTGGGTTTATATAAATGGCCAGTAGCTGGAGGGGGGAAATCATTACAGAACATACATAAACAAACAAAACAAAAATCATTTTAGCAACCAGATAAGTCCCATAGAAAGAAAAACAATTAGCCATATACACAAAGCACTAGGCTTAAAAGTCTCATACTGAAAGCTGGAAAGCCACCTAGAGAGAGATAGCAGATGGAAAAATGATAAGAAATAGAAGGAAAAATGTGGGTCTCTTGGCAATAAACCAACAAGATAATTTGGTGAAGACAAGCAGTTTATGCACATACTTCAACCTTCAAAACATGGTAGACATCAATTTTACAAACTTCATAGATCCACTTACATCTTGGATTATGCTGAATACATCCTTGATGGCCAATGGTATAATACCTGGAGAATTTTGATCTCCCTGTCAAATAAATAGGTAAAAGAGTCAAAAATAAGATATAAGAGCTCTGACTTCTTTCTTTACCAGCAGCAATTACACACTGAGCCATTGACCCATACTCACAGGGCTGCTTTTCTATTGACATGACACAAATTTTAGTATGCTTTCTTCTTGCATTTCTGTTATAAGGGCCTAGAAGAGATTATTCTTCTTTAGGCTGTTTCAACCCTCTCCCCACCTTCTTTTTTATCTAAAAGAAAGAACAAAAAAGAAGTATGGAAAAAAAAGGAGAAAATAACAAAAAGGAAGCCCTAGAGCCACTATCCCCTGAGGAGAGAAAGGTAAATTTGGCATATAACATCTGTCCCTCTGTGTATCTGCAGGGGCACATCTGTCCCTCCCCAGACCCCGCATTGGCAGGAGCCTCATGCACTAGGTTACCATATTCAATAGCTATGATGTGGAGAACTTTAGGATAGGACACTAGGCTTTGAATAATTAGCCTTATGATAAAGGCCTTCAATGCACTGAACTTATTTTTACTTTTAACTATATTTTTGCAAAATATACTTTTCAGAAACAGGGACAAAAAACCTTTATCAGAGTAGCTACAACATGATCTCTATTGGTTGGCTCATGAAAACAATTGTAAAATCTAGTTTATTAATGTTAAGTAATAAGTATGTGTCCTTTTGAACGACAATTCTGACAGCCAATAGAGATCATGTTACAGTTTTCTCATGAGCTGGCCAATGGACACATGTTTTATTTATTGGTAATCGGATGGAAACATGCTTATTGCTGAATGCTAATAAACTAGAGATCTTAGGCAATCCCAATTCACATGTGCATTTTAAACATTCCATTACAAGACACTACAATTTAATGATCTGGATTGATTGACCACTTTTAAACAGTGGACCTTCGTAGAAGGGAAAAGAACTATGTATGTGTTTGGAACCGTGGGCATTCATTCGCTAAACATTTGTACTTGATTTGTTTGCAAAACCGAGAAAAGTAATAATGAACCCGTTTATTGACACTTAGGCACCATTAGGCACCACATCAGCGAAACAGTGAATAAACGCCTACCCATTGGGGGAAGCGCTAAAATGAAACTTCCCCCAACGGTAGGTGCGCACATAAATCAAGGCCTGCTTTTGCAATTCTCTATGCGTACAGATCCGCATAATGGGGGAATGCTGAAGTGGCGCCTATGTGGCAGCGTTTATTCAACAAACGCCCACGGTTCCAAACACCGCCTATGTCATCTCAGAGAGCCGGAGACTTACATGCATAGTGTGTGTCTTCCCACTGCTTGTAACACCATAGGCAAAAACAGTCCCTGAAAGGTAATGTGAGTGTTTCAATAAACAAGATTTTCAATACGATCAGGTTACTAAATTAGTAACACGATTCAATTAGAAACAACTTCAGTCCCCTAAAGTTCATTTTTGCGAATTCCTAAACTTGGATAAGACACAATACCATTGATGCCTTCCATTGCAGCCTTGACCACAGGTCGAGCAGCTACATCATAAACCTCTGGAGAAGTTGTAGAAGGTCCAAAAACCCTATCTGAAATACCAAAAACTCAGATGCTACAGAAAACATTAAAAACAAAAAAAAAAAGACGTGTATTTACAAATGTGCGAAAATGATTCACAATGCTCTGACCACTTTGAGAGGTCGTTTTGTCATAATAAACTATTCGATGGCAAATAGAGATGGAACAAAAATACAAGATTGCTGTTATTAATTGATGATTATTACATTCCAGATACCATAAGCAACAGTCAGAATTTTAATTTAATTGAACAATTATGTATATGAAATAGAAATGGAAGTCAAAGCATTGCTCCTCCATTAGCACCCGTATCATGATGCACCAATGCCGTTAATGCTTGAATTAGAAAATAAAAGGAAACTACTCTCTTAAATCATACAACCAAGTATAATTAATTTCAGAGAAAAAGAGATGAAAATTAGAAAAATAATATGTTGAAGGCCCGGTCAGAGCCTAAAAATGGCTATGTAGATAAGTAAACTTTAAAATTTGTAAGTTAATGGTAAATTATAATACCAAATGCATACGCTGTAGCTGGATTATACTCGCTGCGGACAATTTTATTCCCATCAGCATACCACGCGATCTCATCTCCTCGCTGAATTTCCCGCTCACTACAACAAGAAACCCCAAAAATGAATTTGTTGAGCTACAATGAACTAGCAACGCAGCCCTAAATCCCCAAATTCTAATATCACCAATACAAGCAAACCACGGATCTACCACAATTCATCCAGATCTAAGCCATACCTCAGCGGCCTAAACCGAACAGTAACCGAAATACTATCGCCTGATCTCGACGTAACAACCGGCTCTCCAATGAGCTCCTCTGCCGGAGCATAACTGACAGGAGCACGACTTCCGTAGCCCTTGGAGCCAAGGTACATTGAATCACTACGGCCACGAGTGGGCGTCATGGATCTGGTTGTGTAACCATTGCCAGAACCGTAGAACGACGAGGCCGAAGAAGAGCACGAGCGAGGGATGAATCTACCGTTCATGAGCGACGACGACGAAGACGAGGAGGAGTAAGGACTTGACGGTTTCCGGTAACCGAAAGGAGAGCTGCTCCGTCCCCTTGATGAAGAGGCCGCCATTGATCGATTCGACACCGACCGATGAAGACTCTTCCCTCGGAAGACAAGCGAAAAGGAATAGAAGTAGAAGAAGAGGAGGAGTGAGAATCTGTCAGTCTTCACATGCACCCAGAGACAAAAGCGAAGAACAATAGTTGTTTTCAGTTCTTTTTTAATGCTCGGCTGTTAATGATGCTTTAAAGAGATTGGTTAGTATGAGAGAAGCCGGTGCTGAGCGGGAACAAAAAACCGACTTGATTATAGGCTGGAGAGCGAAACAGAGAGAGAGAGAGAGAGAGAAGGAGCTAACCTTCTTTCTCAAGACAAGTAGAGTTGCAGAAGACAAATCCGAAATCGATCAGCCATTAAAATGGGATATGTTTGCGAGAGAGAGAGAGAGAGAGAGAGATTGTATTTTGACATTTGGGAGATGTTTGAATTAGAAAGCAAACTCCAGGTGAGGAGCTGAGCTGGCGTGTATGGATGACGTGGGAGGTGGGTAATTCGAGTTTTAAACTAGGTGGAATTCCCCGCGTTGTAAGACCAGCCTTTTCAAAACTAAACCTAAAACGAGCGGGAATAACCGCGGTCCACGGCCCCATACTAGACAAAATCGAGAGAGAGAGAGACACGCAATGCGAGAAGGTTGAGCGTTGAGGAAAGAAACACTGGAAAAATGGGGAAAAATAATTGCAAAAAATAATTAATTATTTGTTTATTTATGTCTGAGACGAGGAGCCGAGTTGGGAAGTGGCATTGTCTTCATCCGACACGCGTCAATTGCAATCGTAAATAACATTGCTGTTGGCGGGACCTGCTTTTGCCCGTTACGGGCCGTTGAGGTTTTTTCTGTTTGTTATTGTTTCGGATGAAATGGTTTTGATCATATAATGACGGGTATACCGTATATATTGGGATCATTATTCCACAAAACCGGCTTCATTATAGGTACGACGCCGGCCAGTGTCTGACACCATCTGATTGGAATCAGTTCCGGGTCGAAGCCGAACCAAACAAAATACCTATTCTAGTCCAACAGTGTCAGGATTCATTTCTATTTTCTAATCCTAGAGAAGGCGAGAGTGGAGTTTGGACGGTGGAGATAACAGATATTTGGGCATGTGATAGGTTAGGGTGCGTGTATCGCCTTCCACGTAGAACAGGCTGATGGCATTGATGGAGACACATAGACAGACAAGTGTTGGGATGTCAGCACCTAAGCTAAAGCTAAAGCTCGAGCTCAGCCAAAATCGCGCTTAGCATCAAACTGCGCTGAGCGGCGCAGTGCGCACCAGGCTCTGGCTCTGGCATGTCGAATCGTGGATACACAAAAGTGCAACGTTGTTGTAGTACATTACAGGCTTGTCAAGTTGTCATATTATTCATTCCTGGGTTCTTTCTGTACATTCCGTAATCCCTGCCCCATAAACAGGGAAATACTTGGATATGATAGGATAGTATAGTCTGACCATTACTATACTTACTGGATCAGATCAGACATCTTATGGCCAACCGAGCCGTTGATTTTATAAAATAAAGTTATTCTTTCTTGAAATATTCCACTTTGACGGCTTTGATATGCATTGGGGGTGTATCCGCCCTGTTTCACCTGTACCGCTCTAAAAAGCCCGAATCACCTAAAAGAAAAACCTGCGACTACTCTGAGAGCGGTTGGGATATGCTCACAACATGATACATGTCTTACCATGCGACTCCGGATGTCCCGCCCACATAAGTCTACTTACGGCTAACGCCTATCCACAAAATACTACCTACTTCAGGATAATATCTTCTTCATGTGTGGTTCTGATGTTATGTGGGTAGAATTGTCTTTGATAGGAAATTTGAATTTTTACCTAGTAATAATAAGTTAAGCTTTTCATGAGTTATTCGAGTTTGATTCGCGAAAAGTTCGGCTCGGCTAGGTTTCAATCAAGCTTGAGTTTGAGTCCAATCCATTGGCTCGATTATAAAAATAATATATATATAATAAAATATTATAATTATTAATTATTATAATTCTTAATTTTTTAAATATCAAATAAAAATACTTTTATATATAATTTTTTATTTTTATAAAATATTTTTTCTCAAAATCGAACTTGAGCTTATGAATTTTTTACTTGAGCCGAGCTCGAACTCAAGGTTCTGGCTCGAATCGAGCTCGAGCTTTATAGAACAGTCTCGATCCGAGCTCGAGCCTCGTACTATTCGACTCGGCTCGACTCAAATCCACCCCTACTTACCATGATAATCCCATAGTGTCAATCTCAAGAAAAAAGTGTTGGAACTTATTAGAGAATTATTTTGACAATAGTGTTATTTATCAAAATAACCCATGGTAGCCAAATCAGCCAAATGATATTAGCTATGATATGAGAAAGATATGATATCTAAAAATTTTCTGACTAGTTAACTGAAATCATAAACATAATAGTCAATCAGGTATTATTTATCAAAATTTATGAGTGGATTTTAATTGATCAAAACTATTCCCATACCATGTCTTTCCCGCATTATAGATTTGAGCAAATTGGGCCCAATATCAAAACACCATATCCTACTAAGGAGAAAATATTTTGTGCAGTTTTTCATTTCAGAAAATTCCGTCTCCTATAGACAGAACAAGCCACCTTGGTTAAATTAGAAGGAAAAGTGTGATACGGTAAAATAAATAAATAATATAAAAACTATGTTGATAAAAATGTTTCAACCAACTTAGAAAACCACAACAATGATATAAGTAAATGTATAAAACTAACTTACGGGTGATATGTTAGTTAATTCGTTCAAGTAAAGACAATAGATTTGAACCCTGATAGTCTGATACCACAAAATTTGGGGAGGGGTTATAATAAATGTGGTGCTGCACTACTTAAACCACTCCTATGGGGATTTAGGTGTATCACCAAATACCAAAAATAAATAAATAAATAATGGTCTGTATGATTTAGGTAGGATTGAAAATCAAAACGTCCTAGAATTGGAATCGCCTATTCCCAATGCGTATTTGGTTCAGACATGACTAGGAAGCGAATTCAAATCATTGTTGTTTGGTTTATTTGAAATTAGAATCGGAATTAACCAAAAATTTTCAATGTTGTATCAGTTTATTTATAGTTTATTATTTGATTATTACCTTATTATTTTATTAGTACTTTATTCTTGCTTTATTAGTATTTAATGATCAATATCTTAGTATTTTATTATTAATTTATTAATATTTTATGAATATATAATTATCAATTTATTATTGCTTTAATAATATGTTATTATTATTAACAGACTCTAAAATGGGAATCTCATTCATTTCCAAGGGGAGCTTCTAATGACCATTCCAAATTCCATTCCACCAAAAATAGGAATCATCCCATTCCGATCAAATGAATAGTTAGAATAAAAAGGGGTTATATCAGATAAGAACAATTTTTTGGCCTTAATATCAATAAAAGTAATATATTTAATAAAATTTTAAAAAAAATAATTTAAATGAGCAAATTTACTATTCATCATCTTCTTCTTGTAGTAGAGCCACCCGCCACTACCTCTGGCATGTCTTCAACTGTCGTTTCTGCTTCTAACTGTTGTTTCCGATGATCGAGAAAAAATTCGATAACTCAAACATGCCCTGAGCACCGGAACACACACACACACTCTGTGTCTCTCTCAGTTCCAATCAAGCACGAAAATAATCAACCACAGAACACCTCACCCATAGACCCAGTCCCATGAAAAGGTGGATGCATCAAACGACGAATGAGGATCTACAAACTTATCTGACACATTCTCTAATTAATTGACCTTCTCTCTCTTTCTAACATATATAAATATATGCACAATAGGTAGGTTCTAGTAGGAGTATCACCATCAGCATCAACATTTTCGTCACCGTCATCGTCGCCATTAGGACGTCCAACATCACCATGTACATCGATCCCTTCCAGATCTATACCGACCTCGAACATGCCATGTCATACCCTTACAACCCTATACACAATGAAGTTGAACAAGAGGAACTCCGGTGCCTAGCCGGAGACGGGTAAAAGTGATATCATCTATATTGTTGAGTGGGATCTTTGTTTTGACTTTGGTAATGGTGTTTCTCTGTGTCCAAAGATCACAAGAGCCATTAGCAGATGCAGTGGAAAGGAATCATCATCACTCATTTCCATCTTCTACACCTGTGGGGATACCACATGGGGTATTGGAAGGAGTGTCGAAGAAGACTTTCCTCTCTATTCCAATAAAGGAGGAGTCACGTATCCATGGACCCAACCCATGTTGTCTTGGTAGAGATAGTCGGAGTTTAGGGTAATGAATTACTTAAGTGAAGGGTTTAGGGTAATTCAATATGTTTTTACTTGCCGATGTCCGACTTTCAGCGACCCTTACTCAATTGTCGGAGATGACAGTCGGAGGCGATTGTCAGAGATGACAGTCAAAAGCAGAAACAATAGTTGGAGACGTGCTAGAGGTGACGACAGACGACTCTGCTATAAAAAAAAATATGAACAGTAATTTTTCCATTTTTTATATTATTTAAAAAAATAATAATTTATTTTTAAAATTTTATTAATATATTAATTTTATTGATATTAAAGCCTAAAAATTGCCCTTATCTAATATAACCCAAATAAAAATCATAAAAATCCCACGAGACAACATGAAGCGGCGTAAGAATTGTGGACGCGGACACACTGTCTCATCTGATCAGCAAAAAGAGTACAAGTGAAGGATCATACATCAGATATGTTAGCTGCTACGTTTTTATCTCTCCCTCTTCTTTTTTAATTTTGGGTTTTTATGGAGGCTTGATTGCACATGTCACATTTACGCTAATGTGGTGCTGTCTCCTCCGGACTGTGGCGTAGAGGAGAAAAACAAAACAAAAAAGAAAAATTGAGATGATGAAATGTGGGAATGAAGGGTGGAGGAGGACAGAGAGATAGCTGTCGCCCTCGTGGTAGTGATGTACAAGTGGCGCACATGCAGACTGACTATCTAGCGGGGTCCATTTACCAGATTTTTCACTGAAGAAAAATAAAAGAGGATCACCTGCCTTGACTTCTTCGTCCTAGTAAAGCGTGGATGAATGATGATGATTCCTTCCAACAGAATAGAACAAACAAAAAATGGTGAACTCATCAGTCTATGTATTTTACATTTATGCTCTCGTTTATTTATATATATATATATACTTGCGAGTGCAAAAGCCACTGAAGTAGGGAGTTTGATTTAGGCTAATAAGTTTGAAAATGCTTAAAAAATAAGATATTCAAATAAGCATTTATTTTAGGCTGAAATTATATTGGGAAATTTTTTATTAGTACTCTTATTTTCGGTTTAATGTCACTTTGATTCTTAAACTTTAATATGCGACAATTCAATTCCCGAATTTGTAAAATGTTGTAATCACTTGT